TTCCTTGCCACTTGTGCCGAAGCTGCAATGTTTTGAGGTATTCATGTTTCCACCTGTTCCAAAACATGTCTGCTAAACGCTGAAAGTGCTTCCACTCCTCTCTGGAGAGATCCGCTTCCTCAAAGCTGCCTGACAGAGGAGGAGGTGCAGAGCCTGTCTTGAGAGTCAGGAGCATTGCTGGGGTGAGGATGAGAGGTGAATCCGGATCCGATGACACTGGGATGAGCGGCCTAGCATTCATGATTGCAGGTACCTCAGCCATGAGTGTGGGCAGAACCTCATGTGTCAGGTGAGACTTCCTCTGCTCAAGCAGCATGCAATCCAAAATACAGCGGGCAATGCCGATCATTCGCTCCCATGCGCCACCGATATGAGATGCATGGGGCAGGTTAAACACCCAGGTGCAGCTCTGTGAGTCCAGGTACTTTTCCACACTGTTAAAGCCTGGATTTGTCTTGTCCAACTCCTGCTGATGAAGTTAGTTCTGCAGTCAGAGCGGATCTGCTTTGCGGGGCCCCTGACTGCAAAGAACCTCCTCAAGGCGTTGATAAAGCTGCTGGAACTCATTGCCTCAATCACCTTGATGTGAACTGCCCTTGAACACATACATGAGAACATCACAGCCCATCGTTTAGAGTTGGAGACTCCTCCTCTTGTGCGGCGTGAGACGATGTCCCATGGTCCAAAGACGTCAACACCTACGTAGGTGAAAGGAGGTGCTACTTTTAGTCGTTCTGCTGGCAGGGCTGCCATCTGCTGATGTTCGGTCTTTCCCCTCAGTTTTCTACAAGTGATACATCTGTGAAGCAGACTGCCGATACAGTGTTTAGCTCCCACCAGCCATAACCCTGCTGCTCGAATAGCACCTTCGGTCAGATGTCTTCCTTGGTGTTTCACTGCTTCGTGATAGTGAGACCCAAGCAGGGTTGCGAGATGATGCCGACCAGGAATGATGATGGGGTGAGTCTCGTTCTTGCTCAGACCTGACTGTCCAATCCGGCCTCCTACCCTAAGAAGTTGATCTTGGTCCAATGTGGGGTGCAATTTCCACAGTCTGCTGGAAGATGGAATGTTGGATCCTGAGTTTATACACTTAAGTTGCTCTGTGTAGCAATCATTCTGGACACTCATCACAATGCACACTTTGGCTCTCAGCAACTCTTCCTCTGTAGGAAGACAAATGTGCCACCCCTGATATTCATTCTGGGTGGAGTGGGCGAAGGAACGAGCTACGTGGATGAGGTGCCCTATGGCTGTGAGGAGAGTGCTGAACTTGGAGAAACGTTCAAAGCGCTGTGGGTGTATTGAGCGACACTCCTTCACGTGACGCACTGCTGTTGAAGACCAGACGGATCTTATCTGGCTTACTAGGGTGATACACGCCAAACAAGGGCAGGTACCAGCACTCCGTGCAGGCAGCATTGGCGGGGCAACTTCTGCATGTGCCTTCTTGAGCAAATTCTCCATAAACTCTAGGAAGTCAGCTTTCATCTGTGGTTGTTTTTCCAACGAGCCTCGGAGTGAGACAAGATGGTCGAAAGCCTGTTTCCTGTTGTTGGACAGCCGCTGTCTCAGCGACTGAAAAGGTAAAGGTGCAACCCAACTATTGGAGCTGTCCTGGTAGCACTCAGCTTCCATCTTCAGAAACTCTAAATCTTCCATGGATGGAGCGAGTCTGTGGTCGTCGGGAGTACGAGCGAAGACAGTTGACCCCAAACAGTCTCCAATGAGCGTCATTGAGCCGTACGTGGAGGTTGGTGCTGGATGGTGCTGATGTTTAGGTGCTTGACCAAATACCTCTTTCACTCTGATCTGGTTGTTGCATGGCTGGAGATGACTTGTACAACCATTCTCTAGAATGGCTGTTTTGAAACTTCTCACCTCGAGTGGCCTGTGAGCGCCTCCAAGACACACATCACCAACGACGACCCATCCTAGATCAAGCCTTTGAGCAAACGGTGCATCTCCTGGAGCTCTTATCTGCTCTCAGACCTTGTGCATCCGCAAGAAGTCTCTGCCCAGTAGGAGGAGTATCTTGGAGTCCGGATCCAGAGGTGGAATCATGTCGGCGATGTGCTTCAGGTGGGCATGATGGTAGGCTGCATCCGGCATAGGAATCTCAGTACGGACGTTAGGGATTTGGTTGCACTCGACGAGTGTAAGCAGAGGAATGCTTACTTTCTTGTCCACTGGCTCAACAGTGTAACCACTGTCTCTGTACATCCTGCACAGGTCTTGAGTGTGTATGAGTAGGAGCCTCCGAAGATCTTGAAAACCTTTAAGAACTCTGATCGTGCCAGGAAGCGATTACTCTGCTCGTCCAGTATGGTGTACATTCTCTTGGACTCCTCTCTGCGTCCGTTCGGGAACACGCTGACGAGGCAGATCTTAGCACATGCTCTGGCACTCAGGCCTTCCCCACATACTTGTGTGCACGTCGACTTGACCTCCTGGTTGTCCGTTTTGTCCTCCTCCCCGCCATCCTCTGAAGTGGAAGGGGACGACTTAGATTTCCAGGTAGGTGGGTAGGAGTGAAGTGCTGTCGCATGAGCGGTACTCTCACACTCTGTACATTTTATCTCAGCGGTGCAGTTCTTTGCAAAATGTTCTGTGGAGGAGCAACAGCGAAAGCAGATGTAATGTTCTTTCAAAATCTGTTTGTGATCATCTATGCTCTTCACATGGAAACCTCTACATTTCCTCAAAGGGTGAGGCTTTTTGTGCAGGGGCAATGTTTATTTGGGGCAATTCGTTCTCTACTTCCTCTAGGCTCAGACTTAGCAGTTCGTGAGACCTGCGTCTTGTGAACATATACGGATGTCTTTGCAGGCCTCTCCCACTTACTCTTTCTCTCTGCTGGAGCTTGCGTGAAGAGGTTAAAGCTTGGGTCAGTGCAAGCCCTTGCCTCTGAGGAGATGAGGTTTATCAACACGGAGAAGGGTGGGAAGCAAGATGTTCTTGTTTGTATCTTGTCCCAAAGTAAAGCCACTTTTCTTGCATGTTGTATGGGAGTTTCTCAATGATAGGCCTAATTCCTCTGAAGGTATCTAAGTACGACAAACCTGCGAGGTAGCCATCTTCCTTGGTGGCTTGTAACTCTGACAACAGGTCGGCTAGATCCCTGAGTCTCTGTGGATCCTTTGTTGTGAGCTTTGGAAAGTTTAATAGTTTGTTGAACAGAGCCTGTTCGACGGCCTCTGGTGAGCCGTATAGTTTGTCTGGGCGCTCCCATGCCATGTACAATCCAGTAGCTCGATTCCTAATGTTGACTGTTTTTATACTTCTTACTTGTTCTGCTGATTCTTTTCCCAGATACTTGATAAGGAGGTTGAATTCTTCCGCAGGAGACAGATCTAATCAGCGATAACATTCTGGAAAGATGTTTTCCAGGCCCAATAGTTTATTGGCTGGTCATCATATGTTGTGAGACCTGAAGTCACCAGGCGGTTGCGAGCAAAGTATTTGATGAGGTCTGGTTGTAGAATGGTCACTGCTAGCTCCATAAGGCGTTCTGTGAACAGGCAGGTGCGCAGGAGATGAGAAATCCTGTTTGGAGTTCTGTTGTGGACGTGTTCTGCCAAGCTGAGGAGTTGGAGGGGAGTAGAGAGGCAGACTGAAGCTTTGTTGTGGCGGTGTCCCACTGGTTTGAGGGGCCTTAGGAGCGTAGTGTGGTATAATGACAGCAGGAGTAGCAGCTTGGGTTTGACTGGTATTGAGTGGGTGGAGTGTTGAAGGGATAACACTGATTGGTTGAGGGTGTGGAGGATGAAACGTTGGTAAAGCGTTGTCGCTCTCTGTTGGCAGATAAACCCTTGCTGCATAGGCTGGCTTGTTTGACACAAAGGCGGCGACGCGCTGGTCTTTGATAGATTTGGGGACTAGGCTGTTAACCTCACTGCGTACTTCAACGCCAATATCTTGTAAACCAGCCACAAGTGTATTTGCCTCTGCTATGGCAGCATCTTTTTCTTTTTCATCATTTAATGCATCGAGATTGGCTTAAATACGTGTCTGCTCCACTTTAAGTTCAATTTCCTTTTGCAAATGTGCCGCTCTAGCTTGCGCCGCTTCAGCTTTTGCCTTTGCCATGGCGACGGCCATGCTAATCTTCGAGCTGGACGATGTACCAGATAAGCGACTGCTCCTTGAGCGCATAGTCTCAGACTGGTTATCGCCATTTCCTTTATTACTGTTGCTATGTTGTGACATTATGACTCACTGCGTTTTCGATATCAGGAGAAGGAAGCTAGTGTGAAGCTGTCTGGAAGCTGTAGAGTTAGCCGCTTATCTCTAAAGAGTTGCTCCGTAGGATGGCAATCCTTGTGTCCCTTGTTAGCTGTATTGCTATCTTTTCACTGTCATGGGCTACGTTTCCATTCAGTTTAAACACTCCGTAAAACTCCAGGACACAGATGATTCACTTCCATGAAGTTTACTGGAAATCTTGTGAAACTGTAACACAGTACAATGAGATACTTATATCATTAAAGAGGCTAAACACACAGTATCAAGATAAATAGCACCACTTATCTAACGTAGATGTGTAGCTTATATGATGAAACACAATGGAGCTAGTAAAAACATGCAGCTAACTTAGCCTAGCATAAAACTAATTAGCGTCTTTACCATCACAATATTCTTAGAAATGTGAAAATAAGTGGTAACTTAACGTTACACGATGAAAAATAGTTACAGACGTTGTTGGACCTTAGCAAAGAGGGAAAACGAAAAGCGATCAACTCAGAAGCTGACGAATGGGAGAGCTCACACATGACCGTAGCTGATCACCGCATGGCATTGTTCACTTTGTTTCCCAGCATGCACTGGTCCTAGGTTGCTATGGTTACAAAAATGCACAAACCACACTGAATTGCTGAAACATATTTTCTAGGGGCATAACATTGGCCCCAAACTCTTTTTCTGCTTTGACACCTCCCCTTTCCTCGCCCCAACTTATGCGTCCACAGAGATAAAACTATTGTTGTTTTTATGCTCTTCCAAAATGTATAAATACCACTGCAAGCTTTTGGTTCATGTGATGCCACTCTGTGGCTTTGCTCTCTTTGTCAGTATGACGTCCACACAGAGGTGGCCAGAACAGGGTTGGGCACTTTTACATCTGTTGTTGGTAGTGTCTTTCTCTCAGGCTGAGGAGTCAGTGTGCAGGCGGAGAGGGGATCCGGAGAACCCCCAGCTATTTAAGAATGGGGACATTATGTTGGGGGGAGTCTTCTCTTTCCACAGCAGCTGGAAAGACAGACAGGACACCTACACTCACAAACCGCTGCCACTGCAATGCACCAGGTAAATTATTCATATTATATTATAATTCTATTTCTTTTAGACTTATAATTTCTAAGAGGATGAGAGTACAGATACAAAACAGTTACAAAAGTAGTTATCAAACTGAGGATGAAATACTCCTTGTGTTTGTTGTGCTTATTAATTCAGTCAAATGCTTTCATTTACTATGCTGTTATTTCTACTTAAAGACAAAATTGTTGGCAATCCAACTATTTTATTTATTTTATTTATAACTCTCTGCATCAAGTTTGAATTTCAGAGAGTTCCAGTTTGCCCAGGCTATGCTCTTTGCCATAGAGGAGATTAATAACAGCACAGACCTACTGCCTGGCATCACTCTGGGCTATAAGATCTATGACGTCTGTGGCTCTATTGCCAGAGGTGTGAGGGTTGCGCTGGCTTTGGCTAATGATAATGAAATTGCATCTGCACCCTCAGAGGCTCCATGTACCAGACCTGCACAAGTGCAAGCCATTATGGGAGAGACCTCTTCCTCTCCTTGCATGGCTATAGCTACTGTCATCGGACCCTTTCATATCCCACTGGTGGGTGAGATTGGTAAAATAAAATGAGCAAAAAATAATGATTGTTCTGTAATTCTTCCAACTGGTCATAGCCAAATGGGTTTCAGAAATAATGTTGTATCGTGTTTAAATGTTTTATATTTGATATTTTTATCTTGGCATATCATTTCTTTTTTCTTTTAGATCAGCCACTTTGCTACTTGTGCTTGTCTCAGTGATAAAACCAAGTACCCATCCTTCCTCAGAACAATACCCAGTGACTACTACCAGAGCAGAGCCCTGGCCCATTTGGTCAAGCACTTTGGTTGGACTTGGGTTGGAGCTATTAGAACAAATGATGATTATGGCAATAATGGAATGGCCACTTTCACAGAAACTGCCCAGCAGCTGGGCATCTGTCTGGAGTACTCTGTAGCTTTCTTTCGAACAGATCCACCAGTCAAAATACAAAAGTTAGTAGACATTATCAAGGCTTCCACTTCTAAGGTGATTGTTGCTTTCCTCTCCCACATGGATATGGATGTGCTATTACATGAATTGTCTCAACACAACCTGACTGGGTACCAATGGGTAGGCAGTGAGAGTTGGATCTTTGATTCCCAAACTGCAGCCATGGATATGCATCACATTCTGGATGGTGCCATAGGCCTGTTCATCCCAAAAGCACAAGTCAGTGGCATGAAAGAGTTCATGTTAAATGTGAAGCCACTCAGTTCATCAAGTAATGAATTGTTTACAGAGTTTTGGGAGACATTATTTAGCTGTAAGTTCACACAGTCAAAGTCATCAACAGGGAATCAGAGTAAATGTACTGGAGATGAAGATCTGACTGGAGTGCAAAACAGCTTCACTGATATGTCGCTCATGCCTATATTTTACAATGTCTATAAAGGAGTGTATGCTGTGGCCTACGCACTTCATAATATTCTCGGCTGTAATAAAACATGTAACACAGTGCAGCTAGATCCCTTTACGGTGAGTAAAAGCTAAGTTTTTATACTCAGTCACATTAACACATTTTGAAAAATAAATTGTCATACTCTGTCTATCAAGCTGTTGAGACAACATTCTAAAAAGTTGTTTTCCAGATGATGATCTACATTGATGCATATCTTGTTAGATTTTACAGCACATAAGAAACATTCATTTCAAAACAAAGGAGGGAGATGAGGTTTACTTTAATGAGTATGGAGACCCAGCAGCAAAGTATGAAATAATAAACTGGCAGCCTACAGAAAATGGCATTGTGGACTTTGTTACAGTTGGTCTTCATGATGCATCTTTACCTGCAGACGAACAGCTGAATCTGCAAAATAAGTCTTTAATTTGGGCACAGAACTCACAACAGGTAAACTTGGATGTGATCATTGTAATTGCTAATGCAATTGTTATAATTCTATGAGTTATTTAGTTTTTGTCACTGAATTGATTGATTTACACCTTTCTTATATTTGTTTTATTCACACAGGTGCCAGTGTCAGTGTGCAGTGAGAAATGTCCTCCAGGAACTCGCAAGGTTCTCCAGAAAGGAAAGCCTATCTGCTGCTATGACTGTTTAAGATGTGCAGAGGGAGAAATCAGCAACATTACAGGTGTAGACAAAACACACATAAACTGCCATGTTTTTTTAATTTTAATAAAGAATTTCAAAGGTCCAGTGTGTAACATTTAGGAGGATCTATTGGAAGAAACTGATTATAATATATATAATATGTATAGTATATATATAAAATATATATGATAGAGTATATCATCACCTGAAAATAGAAATCATTATGTTTTTGTAATCTTAGAATAAGTCGTTTTTATCTACAGATGCTGTGTGTCGCCTTACGTGGGGTCTGCTATGTTGAACCACGATGTTTCTACAGTAGACGAGAAGGAACAAACCAAACACCACTCGATAGGGGCTTTTGCGTTTTTAGTGCATTTCACCCTTAAAAGGGGAGGTTGAAGCGAGGGAGTTGTAATCTGCAAGAAATACTGACACATTACAAGTCTAAATCTGCTGTATACATTCATGCAGTCTTGCAGAAATGCATATACATATTAAATCCCCAATGTGAAAAATGTATAACACTCAATCAAACAGGAATCAACATGTTTGATTACGAAGACAATTATGAAATTAAATGAATATTGCAATGATAATGTTAAAAAAGTTATAAAAATTGATTTTAAAGTTCAGCACACTTAAATTACAAAAAGATGTATAGGTTTTGACTGAGGTTTTTACATTGCTCTCTCTGAAACTGCAATAAATGCATTAAGAATTTATAGAGAGAATTTAATTGAGTCAAAGCCAAAACTTAATGAATGATAATCTATTTAAAATGTGCTGTATCTTTTACTGAGATCCAAATAATTTATGATGATGACATGTCGCTTTAATAAGGTTATCAATTTATTATCTGGTAATCATGTAGTGTTTGTTTTGTAGGCATTGAAAAGATGCGACATTGCACACAGACAAAACAAATGAAATAAAGAAGTCTAACACCTGCTTCAATATTGTATTTCAGATTCTATCACCTGTATGAGATGTGACCCTGAGTTCTGGTCAAATGAGAGAAGAGATGCCTGTGTGAAGAAGGAGGCAGAGTTTCTATCATATGAAGAGATCATGGGAGCACTGCTCACGGCAGCCTCTCTATTTGGAACATGTCTGACTGCTGTTGTGGCATTCATTTTCTTCAGATACAGACAGACTCCTATTGTCAGAGCCAACAACTCTGAGCTGAGCTTCCTGCTGCTCTTCTCCTTGAGTCTGTGTTTCCTGTGTTCTCTGACCTTCATCGGTCGGCCCTCTGAGTGGTCCTGCATGCTGCGACACACCGCATTCGGCATCACCTTTGTCCTCTGTATCTCTTGTGTTCTGGGGAAAACAATAGTGGTGTTAATGGCCTTCAGGGCCACACTTCCAGGCAGTAATTGGATGAAATGGTTTGGGCCTGTGCAACAGAAACTCAGTGTTCTGGGTTTCACTCTTATACAAGTTATCATATGTATTCTCTGGTTATCAATTTCTCCTCCTTTTCCATTTAAGAATTTTAAGGAGTTTAAGGACAAAATCATCTTAGAGTGTGCTCTGGGCTCACCTGTAGGCTTTTGGGCTGTACTTGGGTACATCGGACTTCTGGCTATGTTATGTTTTATTCTTGCTTTTCTGGCTCGGAAACTGCCTGATAATTTCAATGAAGCTAAATTCATCACCTTTAGCATGTTGATATTCTGTGCAGTGTGGATCACTTTTATCCCAGCGTATGTCAGCTCTCCTGGGAAGTTCAGTGTTGCTGTGGAGATATTTGCTATTCTGGCTTCAAGTTTTGGACTGCTCATTTGTATTTTTATTCCAAAATGTTATATTATCTTACTGAAACCAGAGAAGAATACAAAAAAGAATATGATGGGGAAAGGGGCACAAAAATCTTCCTGAAAACTTCAAAGTATACAGTGGCAGAGTCATTTCAGTGTCTTGATAATTTTCACATCAACTGTGAAGCAGACATCAGTTTCAGTTTACTGAAGATTTGCATTGTACTATTGCAGTACTTCCACTGCATATCATTTAATTCATGACATAGCATTTTTTTTTAAGTTATTTTTTTGGCCTTTTGTTGGCTTTATTTATAGAGACAGCTGTAGAGAGACAGGAAAGGTGGGTGGAGAGAGAGGATGAAACGCAGCAAAGGGCCGCAGGTCAGATTCGAACCCGGGCCGCTGCAGCAACTCCGTATATGGTTCGCAGGCTCTACCGACTTAGCTAACCGGGCGCATTTTGAGATGACAGCATTCAATACAATGTCTTAAATAAGGGAGAGGCAGGATTGCCTAGAAGGAAAATATATTTGCCCTTAACCAAAAGGTTACTGGTTCAATCATTATTATTTATTATTATTATTGGGGACTGATTCAAATCTACATTCCCCTCTATCTCTCTCTCTGCTTCAGTGGCACTATACTGCAGGTGATGTTCCTGATGTAATGTATATGTGTAGGGGACTGTATATGTGTAAAGGATATACAAAAAGACTATATGTGTGTAAGGTAATACAAAAAGACAAATTTCAGAAATTGACCTTGTGTGCATTGGCTTCTTCTTCTAACCATATCCACCAAACCATATAATCAAAGTAAAAATAAATGTACAACCCTCAGAACTGTTTCTTTGCTGATTTTAAAACCATTAATACATTATATTAAATCTTCATTAAAAAAAATATGAAGATGGGGAAGGGGGCACCTAAATCATTCTGAAAACATAGTGGCAAAGGCAGTCTAGTATATTCATAATTTTTACATAATTTGTTAACAAGACTGTCAAGTTGACATCTACCCTCAATGTCTCATTCATTACATAGAATATTGAGATGACAGAAATGAATATACTGTAATATGCAATCATACCAACAAACTTTGATTTCACAACATTAAATACAGTTTGTTAAATTATAAATTGAAGAATAAAATTCACATTTTCACAGACAAAAAAATCTCTAGCTTATTCTGTTTTGCTTTAACATTCCAACTTGTTGATTTTAATTACACAATATAATTACAAAGTGGAAGTTGTGATGTGACGCTGAAGACATGAGATCATGGTGTAATTCATTTACAACCCTTTAATGTTAGCTTTTTATTCTTTTAGGTTTTTACAAACATTCACACTTCAGAAATCATAAAAGTGGTGCATTTGTGAAGATTATCTTGCTGAACAAAATGTGGATGTATCATAAACATTTGTTCACCACAGAGCTTACTTCCGGCTGTGGTGGTGGCTGCCCATCTTATGTGTTTGGAGATATTTCATTATTGCGGTTATTGTGACAGCCCTAATTGTACCAGGCATTTTCCCAGTGGGCTACCACGGATTTAGGCCAATATAAATTTAATTTTGAATTTATAATGGTCCAGTGTGTAAAATTTAGGAGGATCTGTTAGCAGATATGCAGTGCTAATTTCACTGCCAATAAGTCAGTTCCCGATGTTGTTTTTACATTCCATGGGGAACAGGCAATGGGAAAGCACAGGGACACAGCTTCTAGTTGGAAAATGAGCATTGGTAGAGGCCTACATTATGGATATCCAGTTTGGTGAATATCTGATCATGGGAGTGGGTATTTAATTTTGGTTGAGGCCATTGTAGTCTATGCAAGGGCAAAGATAATTTTGGCCTTAGAGGACAGGAAGCCAGGTGATGGCTGATCTGGCCACATGCAATTCAAACTCTGCGTTCATCACTGCTTGTGTTTTGTGTATTGGCCTATTTTTTCTTAAATTGCCGTGCGTTAAGGACTTTGGGACCGATAATGTGAGCAACTATCTGGTCAACACTTTAGTAGCTAAACAGTTGGTAGAGACCAAAACAGAGCTAAAAGGACATTATACTCCAGTGAACACAAAAACAACTTCAGATGAATGCTAATATTGACTAAACATACAACAAAACATAACAGCCCACTCAAACACCACTGTAGAAACAAATGCAGCAGGTATGTAAAAAAATACCATAAAACTGCAATTAATAGCCCGCCTTTTAGTTGCTTCAATCACCAATTTCCTATATGAGACAGGCGTTTAAGTCCTTTGGCCCAAAACTCTTGCTCAGCAAATATGATAAATGCTATAAAATTGTTTACTTGAACCAGTATGATTACTTACGTTTATTGAATGCATATAAAATATGAATCATTAATTTCACTTTGCTCCAACAGACAGCTCATCCAGGCCAACCATATGCATACTGCAGACAGCATGGAATATAAACAATTCAAGGAATGGACACATATTCTGAATTAATTACGCCTTGGTTTCCATAAAATTAACTGAACAGTTGAATTGTATAGCATATAGCTGATCTAACAATGTGTAGCATGTCCATATTGACAAAGGTTTTAGCATTTATATTTTTGTAGGCGATCTAAGCAGCTTAGAATTAGCTCAAGTTGGTGACCCATTGGGCTTTAAGAGGTTTTATACATACAGAAGAACTTCTATAATTACAGACCCTGTGTTTAATTCAAACCTGTGGTGTTGGTTTTTTTTTTTAGTGTAGCCACACCAGGCAAGTAAATAGGATCTGCGTATCACGGTCAGGCATGTGATTTTTCCACCTAAATCCGGAATTTCTAATTTTCCAACCTGATAATATAACGATAATGCAGATCCATGAAAAAATATACTTTATGGTCACACAAATGCACACATGGCAGATAGAGACCATAGTGTAAACAAACACTTGGTATCCCCCACCCCAACTCCACCCCAAACCAGCCTTAGTGGAACCCTAACCCTTTTGTAGTTGACCCATATAACCTTTATAAACCTAATCCTTAATCCACATTACTTTTGTTACTTGTAAATGTTAACCTGATTTACAATTATGAATAAACAATAATGTGAGCCTCAATAATGTTAGTTAATTAACAAAAAGGAAACCTTTTTTTTTTTACAGCCCAGAATATTCCAGTTAAAATATTTAAAATCGATTAAGGCTCAAAATTATTTTCCTAATACAGCAACTCCTTCCTCTTGCCCCACCTTGTGGTTCGACAGAAAAAGCCTGTCACTGAGTATTATTTTTTTGGCTGCCCCAAACTGCATAAATACCGGTGCAAGCATTTGATTTACATTAAGGTACATGTGATGCCGTGTGTAATAGTTTAGCTCTCTTAAACAGTATGACTTCTACTCAGAGGTGGCCAGAGCAGGGTTGGGCCCTCTTACAGCTGTTGTTGGTGGTGTCTTTCTCTCAGGCTGAGGATTCGGTGTGCAGGCGGAGAGGCGATCCGGAGAACCCCCAGCTATTTAAGGATGGCGACATTATGTTGGGGGGAATCTTTTCTTTCCACAGCAGCTGGAAAAACAGACAGGATACCTACATGCACAAACCATTGCCACTGCAATGCACCAGGTATCTATTTAGATTAAAGATATGTAAGAAGAAGTGGGTAAAGATATAAAAGTGCAAGAAAGGTTATCAAACGAAGTATTAAAATAAGAAAATGAAATTTGAATTGGTTGCATTTACTAACTATTATTAACTATCTACAACTGTCCGTATTAAGTTTGAATTTCAGAGGTTTCCAGTATACCCAGGCTATGCTCTTTGCCATAGAGGAGATTAATAACAGCACAGACCTACTGCCTGGCATCTCTCTGGGCTATAAGATCTATGATGCCTGTGTCTCCATTCCCAGAGGTGTGAGGGTTGCACTGGCCTTGGCTACTGGTAATGAAATGGTTTCTATGCCCTCTGAGGCTTCATGTACCAGACCTGCTCAAGTGCAGGCCATTATGGGAGAGACCTCTTCCTCTCCTTGCATGGCTATAGCTACTGTCATCGGACCCTTTCATATCCCACTGGTGGGTAAGATTGGTGAAAATTAGATTTTATTTGTTAAATATAATTATTATTCTGTAATTCCTCCATCTGCTCATAACATAAGGGCTTAAACAAAATAGTAGTGTACTGTGTGAATGTCTTTATCTTGGGATATCATTTCTTATTTCTTTTAGATCAGCCACTTTGCTACTTGTGCTTGTCTCAGTGATAAAACCAAGTACCCATCCTTCCTCAGAACAATACCCAGTGACTACTACCAGAGCAGAGCCCTGGCCCAGTTAGTCAGGCACTTTGGTTGGACTTGGGTTGGAGCTATTAGAACAAATGATGATTATGGCAATAATGGAATGGCCACTTTCACAGAAACCGCCCAGCAGCTGGGCATCTGTCTGGAATATTCTGTATCTGTCTTTAGGACAGATCCACCCAGCAAAATACAACAGATAATTAACATTATCAAGGCTTCCACTTCCAAGGTGATTGTTACTTTCGTTTCTCCCACTGATTTGTATGTGATAATAAACAAGTTGGCTCAATACAACTTGACTAGGTACCAGTGGGTAGGTACTGAGGCCTGGATTTTTGATTCCCAAACTGCAGCTATGGATTGGAATCATATTCTGGATGGTGCCATAGGCCTGTCCATCCCAAAAGCACATGTCAGTGGCATGAGAGAGTTCATGTTGGATGTGAAGCCGCTAAATTCACCAAGCAATGAAATGTTCACAGAGTTTTGGGAGAGATTATTTAACTGTAAATTCAAGCAGTCAAAATCATCAACAGGGAATGAGAGTGAATGTACTGGAGATGAAGATCTGACTGGAGTGCAAAACAGCTTCACTGATCTTTCACTCATGCCTATATTTTACAACGTCTATAAAGGAGTGTATGCTGTAGCACACGCACTTCATAATATTCTCAGCTGTAATAAAACATGTAACAAGAAGGTGCAGCTAGATCCATTCATGGTGAGTTGAACACCAAATTCTTAATCTATAGATTTTAGATTAAGTCTTGGTTTAAATTTTGAAAAATATGTTGTAGTCATACTGTTAGGACATGATCTACATTGATGCATATCTTCTAAGATTTTACAGAACATAAGAAATATTAAGTTCAACACAAAAGAAGGAGATGAGGTTTACTTTAATGAGTATGGAGACCCACCGGCAAAGTATGAAATTATAAACTGGCAGCCAACAGAAGATGGCATTGTGGACTTTGTCACAGTTGGTCTTTATGATGCATCTTTACCTGCAGACAAACAGCTGAATCTGCAAAATAAGTCTTTAATTTGGGCACAGAACTCACAACAGGTAAACTACCATGTGACCACTGTGTAGTATAGTTTATTTATTTGAATTGTTATATCAAAATCAAAATTGAATACCCATTCATTTTTTCTTTTTTCTATTCTGTTCATGCAGGTGCCAGTGTCAGTTTGCAGTGAGAAATGTCTCCCAGGAACTCGCAAAGTTCTCCAGAAAGGAAAGCCTATCTGTTGCTATGACTGTTTAAGATGTCCCGAGGGAGAAATCAGCAACATCACAGGTGTAGTAATCTTTAATTCAAGACAAAAAATAACTGTAAGAGTCGCCATGTTCACATGCCAAATATGATTTCAAAAGTATGAAAGAAATTACTAGCCAAAATTTTTTTCAACCTCCCATGAAACTGCAGTCTCACAATGTGAGGATTTGCTGCTTTTCCTTTTAATTCATTTTCAGTTTTTTTTCTTAATATTTCTGAGGTTAGTATTACTGTTGGCTGGACAGAAGAAGCATATCAATGTGTCACTTTGGGTCTAGGTAATTG